AAATGAGCACTAAATCCCTGCATCATTGATTTTTTGAAAAAAAAAAATTACAAGGTGGGGGGCCAGCGACATGATTTTGATTTTTCGACAAAAAATTTTGATGAATTTTTTTTTCGAAATTTTTTTTAACCTAGTGCATCTGTCAGCACTAAATACCTGTATCATTGATTTTTTTTTTTTTTTTAATACAAGGTGGGGGGGGCAGCGACATGTTTTCGATTTTCAAATCAATTTTTTTATGCACTCATAGTAGCACTAATTAAACGGAGACGTGGGTTCGACAGCACTAAATGAGCACTAAAAGCACCAATTATTTTTAACATAGCACTAAAACTGGGGGGGCCAGCGACATTCACCTGGTGCCAACCACCCAATAGGATCATATAACTTCGCAACCGCGGACACTATATTTCGTTTTGTAGGTGGTAGATCTGATAAATTAGTGTAATGATAACGGAATGCATCTTCCGCAATTGACCATTTCAAACCAAGAATTGAACTTTCATCACAAAGATAAAAATTTACTGAACTTACTGCGCCGGCGGTAACACCAAGTACCGACCTCATGTGTGCACTATTTGTGGCCCATTTTGCCAAAGGAAAACCACAACTCATTAACATCTCATTCAATTCTTGGTACAATTTCTCCGCATCCAAATCAGTATCTGCGCACAAAGTACCATCATCGACGTAGAACGAATTCAACACTGCTTTTGACGCTAATGGATACTTATGCCGATGCTCCAAAGCACGATACCTCAAAGTGGCGACACAACAATATGCACTTGATTTTAAACCATATGTTTGCCTTTTCATACGATAATGCCGCAGTGGTTCATTCTCATTTTCGCGCCAAACAATTCGCAAATAATCACGTTGATTTTCTGGCACTAAGACTTGACGATACATCTTGGTAATGTCCGTAGTTAATGCAACACCATATTTACGAAATCGCATAATAATTATATTCAAATCATCTTGACAACGAGGTCCATTTAATAAAATATCATTGAGAGATACACCCGTTGTAGTCTTATCAGAACCGTCAAAAACAACTCGAAATTTACTTGAATTTGCAGCATGATGCGGTATGTAATAGACATCCTCTTTATCTATCTCATTCAGCCACTGGGTTGCTGCAAAACACGTATCACTGGCGCCCTCACTGTATTGCATAGTGAAGTAACTCAATAGTACGTGTGTGAAATGTGAAGATTTTTTCTCGCACGAACTAGATGGCGCTAATAACTAAGTGTCTTTGCAGCAATGGTGTGCATTCAGCGGAACCAACTCCATATGGTCCAAATCAATGAATTATCGAATATCTTTGATGTAATTCTCTTTTAACCTTGGATCTTTGCGAAATCATCTCTCATTTTGTAATTGACGTGCTATGGCTGCACGCAAAGAATTGCCCAATTTAGGTGGATTGTCCATAATTGGCATCGCAACTGAATACCGACCGTCTTCAGCTCGCTTTATAGTTTCGCTGAAAATTTGTTCACAACGCGCTTCCTCGGACGTGAGAAGCGATTTTTCTTTCACAGCATCAACCCTCCACAATCTTTCCAAATTGTCGGCGATGCGTTGACAATCAGCGATTGCAAGATGCGACAAAGAAGCAAACTTTTGACTTGATGGTAATGCTCCATAAACAATCCAGCCAAATGTAGTGTAGCTCACCACTGGACGATTCGAATTGCTATGATCTCTTATAATTTTGTTACCTTGAATGCGTGCCATAAATTCTACGCTTAACAAAATATCAATATCATCGGGCATATTAAATGTCTCATCTGCTAATGGCAAGCCATCTAAATGATTCCAGTCTGAAATATCGAACTGAGTTGGTGGTAATTTACCCGAAACCACACTCATAACACCAGCTCTAATCCATTCACCAGTACTCGAACCGCCGTCCGCTGGTGAAATTTTCAAATCAACAAAAGTTTTTGAGTCTATACCACATCGGCCGGCACCCTCCATTGGCACAGACAATTTTCTTTGCTCAAGATCTAATAGCTGCTGTAAACGCCGTGAAATCATACACATGTGTGATCCACCATCAGCCATCGCTCTGACTTTAACTTCTTTGCCAAATTTATCTGACGCTAACACTCTCAACGTCGCAATTAATGATGCATCAATATCCGTATTAGCCGGCGATGATTGTACCATGGTTAACACCGTTGCTGGTTTTTGTTGCTGAGGG